TGTGGTACGCCTCAGAACCCGTCATACTCGTTTAACTAGTTATAGCCTTTGCTTGGTCACTTGTGTGGTACGCCTCAGAACCCGTCATACTCGTTGAACTAGTTATAGCCATTTTTTGGTCACGCATTCGGATATTTTAGTCACACTTTTGTGTATCAAGCACAGATTTTAATTTATTTCACCTTTTATAAGACGTACGCGAAGAAATTCGGTAATTCTTGCTTTAGGAAAGTTCTTGTGTGACTTTGAAAAACTAAAGACATTAGACGGATGTTCCATGCCAGGCCGTGCCCATGGACACAGCAGTGATATTGTCACTCATGTTTGAAATCCAACCTATTAGGCATTCCAGTGTTACGATTGACCACTCGGCCACTAAAAACAGACATACATCAGTCAGAACCCTTATACAACCTTTACCAGAAGTTCCCCTAATTGTCAGACTCATATTAGACGTTGAGAACTTAATCTACCAATCAAACTCCACAAACGATAGTCCACGTTGCTTCTCGATCTCTGCTTGGTGCTTTACACAGCTTACGTTACAGTTTGGCTTGACTTAGAAATGCTCTTTATTCAATAGGTTTATTTATGGTAGACATGTCTATACCTTACTAATATATAACACTATCTGTAAATATATCTGTAATTTATATGAAATGGATCTAATATATCAATAAAAAACAGGATCGTATATCGTACTATCTATGAATCTCGTTATTTATTAGAGATACATTCTTGGTTCACAACGAACACGAGCTATCTATAGACTTTCAGAAGTACTAGTTGGACGCGCGTAATATTCGTAGGAAAAAATAACGATAAAAATAGATTAAAAAATTGTACAAATTTGCAACGTAGCTGACGTTACTTGTGCAAAGCTTACCTTCCCTTTTCATACAAATGGAAAACGGTAAAATGACTCTAAGATGGCTTCCAGAACTTAACCAATCAGAAAACGTGGAAATACACCCCAACCAATCACTACGCCTGATTATGGTTGTACATTAAATGTCACTTTTGCTACTGGTAAAGTGATTTTACTTGGCCCATGAAAAAATAACAAGCATAAAGCATAGTAATAGACACTCATTCGATCGTTTTTTAGTTTTACTTGGACTGGTAGGAAATAATTATTATACAACTTTCTTTCAAGGGCCGAGTAAGATCACTGTACTAAATTGTACTAATTGTATAAAGTCAATACATATCTTGTCAGCTTGATTCTTCATTGTCTGGTTTATCAACCAGTTCACAAACATGACGTAAAATGTCCTTCAATCCTCCTAACATCAGCTTGATTGATTGTTCTCGTGTAGTTAGTTCATCTGTGTTTTCTGTACTTATCTTTTTTTCTTTCTCCATGGTAACGATTCTCGAGCTACAATCCTCTGCGACCCTAAAGTAAAATTAAGAATATTCCTCTATTAAAAAATATATAAACGTACATAAAAACAGAGCACAGTACATGAAAAACTATCCGTGTAAATGCGGTAATGAAAATCGAGAATTATCCTTGCAACACGTTACGTCATAGCCGCCATGTTGGTTGACTTAAGATTTGGCCTTGGTTTCTTTCGTTATATCACCCCGAACATGGCGGCCATGTCTTTTGTCCTATCATTCTCATGAAAAAGGAAGCTGACGCCATATTGCTGGTTTGCAATAATTCCCAAGAGAATGAAATAACAAAAGACGCGGCAGCCATGTTGGATGCTTATGTAACGAAGTAGAGTAGTGACGAATCTTTTGTTAAATTCATCCAACATGGCGGCTGTGAAAACCATCAATTTGGTTTTCATACTTCTTCAAGATCTCTGGGGGTTTTTTTTTCATTTCTTTCAGTCAAACGTTCACCAACTCAAACCCTTGTGAGTTTGATTTCATTGATATCCAACAAATGTCAGACAGTAGTGTATCTATATCTACAGTTTTGGGGTACCTGCTTAGTGCTTGTCTCCACGCCAGAGGAAACTCTTTCTTCATTTGCTCTAGAAAATTGAGAAAAATATCCGGATAAGGTTCGTAAACTTCTCAGACGATCATTTAATTTTTTCAACCAGGGTGGTAAGGGATCAATGTTTTGTAACTCACCATAGGTCATGTGATCTATTTTCTCGTCGTCTCCATCTTCAGATTTTGATTCATCATGTTCGCTGTCAATATCATCATCACCATCATCCTCCACATCATCATCATCGTCATTACTAGCATCCAAGTCATCATTACTTTCGTCGTCCACATCATTTTCATTATCATCATCATCGCTATCATATACCCCATTAACAGCATAATGTCCAGGTTCATCATCATTATCATCATCATCATAATCTTCATTATCATCATCATCCACAACGTCATCATCATCATTCCTACAGCCGCCACGTCTAGCCTTTGCTTTCTTGTTTGCTACACCACTCATAGATTCATTGTCCACCAATGATTCATTCCTACGTTTTCTATCTTTAACATTAAATGCATTTTCTATAATCTTGCTGTTGATAGACTTCTGTTCTTCGCTACAGTTTTCAAAAAGACGAACCAAGTCTTCCAGATCTTTGGGATGGTTCTCTGTTTCTTGGTCTTTCTTGAGTATCATTTTAAGTTCTTCTTCACTTAGGTGTAGAACCTGAGACAAGCAGAAGTAGTATAGGCGCTAACTCAGAATTCATAGAATAGGTTTATTAATACGATAATATCATAGTTAATATATTAACTCTGATACGATGAAAAGGCGAGAAGACAAAAAATAATAATAATAAATCAATAGTGCAAAACCGAAGAAAGTGGAAAAAAAAAAAGGTTTCAAATAAGGGGGAAAAAATTATTTTAGAAGCAAAGGAAGTTAATGACGGTGTACCTTGAGGACCACTGATAGATCGGGTCCCTGGTTTTGATATCCCTTCAGATCAAAGACGAATACATCGTCACTGGAAGCCAACCCCTGCAAAAATACTATGTACTTATTGACTGAGTGGGAGGGCCGTACGGGAAAATATTTGGCTCGAGGTCATGTCGTACGGACCGAGCGCAGCGAGGTCCGTACAAATGACCGAGAGCCAAATATTTTCCCGTACGGCCCGACCTAACTCAGTCAATAAGCATTTTATCATATGACCCTCACGAAAATAAAAATAATTAAGAAAAAGAAAGCGCGCGGATTCGAGCAGGGCCGGACGGGTTTTTCCGGCCCGCTTACGTCAACCCGTCCGGCCCCCATCACGTGACTTTTTCCAATGGTTTTATTAGAGCGCGCGAGCAGGGCCGTACGGGTCATATGATAAATTCAAGTATAACCTACCTACAATATATTCATCCAAAAATGATATACACCTATTTAAAAAAACGTCATCGCCAAAGGCGATAGGCGATAGGCCATTCCGAGACGGAAATGGTTTCGTTGAACACAAAGAACATTGAATCAGTCTCAACACTAAGGTCCATGTTCTTGACGAGAATAAGAAGCAGAAACACAAGTCATTCCAGCTATTCTTGGATCTTGGAATGACCTATCTCCTATCGCTTTTCGCCTATTGCCTATCGCCTTTGGCGATGACAACGTTTTTTAAAATGGGTGTATACTAGCTTCCATAATAAGGAATATTACGTCAGACAAACACTGAGCTGAGCTGACTTTTATAAAAAAGGGTAAGGTCTGCTAATGGTATTCAAGAAATGTTCAGAAATACATTAAAATAAAACGGACTGAATCCTCACCATTTCTTCCATCAGTTGAAACTTTGCATCAAGAATGCGAGCTTCGTGTTTTGATATCGAATGTTGACGAAGAACGTCATAGACAATGGCAACAGGGATATCCATCTGGCGATGAAAAGAAAAGAAGAAAGAAAGAAATTAAGGAAGGAAGAAATAAAAGAAGGAAAATGGAAGGAACAAAGGAGCAAAGGAAGGAAGAAGACAAGTTATTTGTTACTGGTGATTTTTTTGCCAACTAGAAATCTATATTTTATAATATATTAAATTTATATAGAGCTTAAACTAATTTTCAAAAACAAAAGCAAACTGTGCATTTCCTATGTCATACCAAAACTAAAAAGGACAGATATCAAAAACCAATAACAGTATTGTGTTAAAGTCAAAGTTCTTTCAGATAAGCATCATTAACCCAATGGGGTACTCCCCTATAATCGCTATACAGATAGGTGCCGCCAAACAGGGTACGGTTTTCAGTGATTCTACTCTGGAACAGGGTATATAAAATTGCACTCCCTCTGGGACAGGGCACATGAAATCATGCTCTCTCCTCTCTGGAACAGGGTATGGTTTTCAGCGATCTTGCTCTGGAACAGGGTATGAATTTCAGTGATTTTACTCTGGAACAGGGTCAGGGTTCAGAGGGCTCAGCTGCACATCCCTACCCTAAATGGGTAAGTGGACCCCCCCCCCCCCCCCCCCCCCCCCCCCCCCCCCAAAAGGGGAAAGGGCCCCCCCCCCCCCCCCCGGATCATTACCAGAAAGACCAATATGTCATACCGTGAATGGTTGAACCTAATGTTATTATAATCACCGTGTCATTTGGGTTAGGTGTTTTCTCCACAAATCCATAAGACTGAAGGAGATGACAGTTGGCAAGCTGTCCATATGTGTTGAACACTTCTTGATCCTATGGAAGAGAAATATGGCAACTGTTATTACTGATAATGTCAGCAGAGCAAATAGTTAAAAGTTCCATAGGCAGAGAAGATGGTATTAAGCTCTCTAAAATATAGATTTTTACAACGTAATATTCCAAACTCTACCTTAGCAATAGGCTGAGTGGACACCATCCTAAGCTCTTCTTTAGCAAACTCCAGATGTGCATTATTGTTGCTATGGTGATTCAAAATGTCAGCCATGGGCACCATAACAGGGGCATTGTCACCTTGGCAACCAGGATTGTTTTCTGTGAAGCTGTAAGCCATGATGAAGGCTGCCATGTGCTTGTAGAGGGCCAACGAATGGATGGTCTTACTACCATGCAAATAGTATAGATTGGACTCTGGTTCCAGAAAAATTTCATACCTCCCCCATATGAAGGATTGGGATTTCCATACTAACCGTAGAGGGGGATTAGGATTTCCAAGGGGTGGGGAGGGTCTGAGAAGGGTATATTGTGTAGTTCCAGAAAATATCCATACCTCCCCCATGAAGAATCTGGGATTAATCAGAGTTTCTAATACTTACTCAAACTTGTTCTTATTTTTCTTGATAAAGGCTTTAACAACACTAGAATATTCCTTTTCAATGCATTTTAGATCCTGTTCCACATCTTCCTCAATTTCAGTCCCTTTTAAAAGTTGTTCCCTGTCGTTTTTAGTCCAGAACATCGGCTGATCCAGTACGCCAATACCAGGTATAATATCAAGGTAAGGCCTCCAGAACGATGCAGGGTTAGTGTACTCATACATGAGGGCTAACAGAAGAGGAATCCAGCCTGACCTGCATATCAGTATATCAATAGCATGGTGGTTAGAGTGGGATGGGAAGATGGATGGATGAACGGATGGCAGGATATATGGCAGGATGGATGATGGATGGATGGATGGGAAGATGAATAGGAGGATAGATGGCTGGGAGGATGAATGGATGGATGGATGGATGGCTGGATTGATGGACAGACAGACAGATGATGGGTGGATGGATGGGAGGATGGGTTGTGCCCCATGGATGGATGAATGGATGGATGGAAAAAGTAGTCATATTAACTCATTTCATTTTTTTATATTATTGTTATTTAATATTATTCTATTCCTTACCCTCTTTGTGATTTCCCAACATTCTCTGTCTCCAAGGCAACAGAACACGTTTTCGGCTCAAGCAGTAAATTCCTTGGTATCGAGAAAAGACACTCGCCTTGACTTATATCATCTGTGGCTACCATACCGTAACGATGACAAGAACCTCTGCTACATACTTTCACCTAAAAAATTTGTGCTCAAATAAGTTAGTTTAAAAGAACAGTATACGTTACATAAAACGTTTGACATGCAGTATCAAAGCTACCCATACCTTCTTACTGAGTATAAGGCCATTTTCTTTGCACCAAATCAAAAATTTATCCAAAATTGGGTCTTTTTCTTCTACAGAAATGTCTAGGGAAAAACTTGTTACTCCGTCCGCCATGTTGGACGTGAGTTTAAAGAGAGCTGGAACTAACCCAAGGAAGCCCAATAAATTATTGTTGTTGGTTATTGGGTTTCCTGTGGTGAGTTAAACAAGATGGCGGCCGTCAAGAACTGAAAATGTCTCTCTTTGGATTGATCGATTACGAAGGAACTTCTTCAAGCTCCTCTGAATCTGATGAAGAAACACCTACAGAGGGATCTTCTGCTTATAAATTAGGCAAGAATTTAGCCATCGATGGTGAGGAAGATGGTGAAAAACTAGTTCTACCGTCGCCATTATTGGGGCCTTCAGAACCTTCTTCTTCTAAAGAATTCTCAACTCGAACCTTCCAACGATCTTCTATATTTTATAATCCTTTCAAAGCAGAGGAGAAGAGAAAACTCGATGTACTGGAAAAGCATGTTCATTTAACAAAGAGTGTGCCTTCATCTAAGAATAACAAAAGAATTTGCTACAAGTTTCAAAAAGGGAAGTGTCGCTTTGGAGATAATTGCAGGTTTGCTCACGCTACGAATATCATAAAACCAGAGGCTGTTAACGAAGACAACGATGCTAAAAAGGTTGCAGGAGACGATGTTCATATCAACAGGACAGAAATACCATATAATCCAGAAAACGACGGGGATGAGTGGGAGGAAGCGAAGCCAAAGAAGCGGAGAGTTGGAGTCACAGATTCTCTTGTCCCTCCAAAAAAGGCTATGAAGGCGTATGAACAACAAAAAAGCAGAGAAAAACCTTGGAAGAATTGAAATAGTTCGGTCTTCCTTCATGTGGGAAGTCAGATCAGATAGATATATTTCAAATAAAAGGCTCCTGTTTAATAGATATGTGAATAGGAGCCTATAATCTCTGGCTATCATTGACATCGTACTGTATTTTGATATAAGTTGGCATTTGACGACAAGATCTACAAAAGAAACCACATTGGACTCCAAAGCAAAAAAGAAAAGAAAAAAGAAAGAAAGAAAGAAAGAACTAGCGAAAGAAAGAAAGAAAGAAAGAATGAAACGAGAGAAAAAGGAAGGGATTTTAGATAACAAAAAAGTTCAAACTCGGACAAAGTTCTAAATTTTCTAGTTCTTTTATTGTTTTCTCTTTGCGGTTTCCTCTTCGTTGGATTCGCTCAGTTCTATTTGTTTAACTACACTGAAATAATACTAAAAGAAAAAGTCCCACTTGCACACTTCTATATCAGAAGTTTCTGTACTTGGTAATTATATGCCTTTTTTCGTGAGCTCAAACTCTCTCTTTCGTTTCAATGCCTTCTCCAGATCAATGAATCTGAACCCAAGAGCCTTGTCCGCGTTGCTGAGTCGAACCTTAGAACTGAGCACTTGCTTTGGTTCAAGAGAATTTTGCTGAGCTTTCACTACTGCTTGTTCTTTACGATTCACCATGAAAACCTTGAATTCCAGCGAGTTGGTTGGTGTAAATCTGTAAAATAAATTGTCAAAGTCAACTCTAATAGAAATGACGAAACGAAGTCACGCCGATTGGAAACGAAGTCAACCCGATCAACACTAACCCTCACGAGTAGTAAAAGTCAATCCGAGTGAAAACACAGTGAACCCGAGTGTGTAACAATATTTTTTTTGTTGAAATTTCCAGTTTGTATTCAAAAATTAGCATGAGTCTAAGATGCACTGTAAAAAACGTTTTTTCATTTGGAAATCTTACTTCCGTCTTTTCAGAGCTTGTAGATCTTTCATTTCGAGTTGTTGTAGGTCCTTGTGTAGATTGTGGAAGTTGCTATGCAACGGGTCTTCGTATTGTACTCGAATGTTTCCATGGTTACCGAGGTCTATGTAGTCACGTATACGAGCCCCGGCAGTCCCAAGCATTTTGTCGTTCAGCCTCTGAAATCAAAGCAAGATAAATGCAAAAAAATGGGAGACGTGATGACGTTATATGGAACGTATGACGTCATGAATACGAATAATCATGAGGAGCTAGTGTAAACTATGAGCTCGGGTTTCTAGTGAAGGTTTATCCACCACGCTGCCTTATTCATCCATTTCAACTGCGCAAATTGAATTTAGCTCGAAAAAATTTGCACAATCTTGTTAAATCATTTTACCCGTATACACCGAATTAAAATATGGCGACCAATTTCAATAACTATTGTTCTACACTGACTAGCAACTGACTAGCTTTTCATTCATGTGAAAACGCTTTTATGTTTCCACGTGAGCACAGTCTAGTCAGTACAGAACAATAGTTACTCAAATTGGTCGCCATATTCCGATTCGGTGCATGACCACATTTTTAGATCTGACAACATTAAGCTCTTACACTAAAATAAGCATTCTTGTAGTTTGATCCTTTTTTCTGCCAATCATTCCACAACTTGTCAGTGAAGCCATGATGGAGAAGAAACTCGGGTGCATTGGCCGAGGACTTGGAGCACATTGTGCCGCCACTCCCACCTATCCTACAGTGCATGTTATTATGAAGACCATCACGAAGACCAATCTCAAACTCGTCAAACTGGTTAGATTCGTATTTTAGGACTTCTGCTACAGCAACAATATCTGGTGGGTTGCCTGTGTTAGTAAAGATATTCGTATAGTCGCATTCTTTTGACGTGATTTTAAAAGATATTTGTGATTGATATGACATGGGCGCGCGGAGATACGAAATTTATCTTCGAGTGTTGAATAGATCTCTCACGAGTGAGCGCAGTGAACGAGTGAGAGATTTTCAACACGAGAAGATAAATTTCGTATCTCCAAGTGCCCATGTAATATTCTGTTTATTGTATATTTATCCATAAAATCAACTTAACAAGCTTTTTATTATTATAAAAAGTTCTTATTTATAAACTATAGCTTAAATACACATGGTAACGATATTTTCACATGTGAAAATATCAGTTTTTCGAAAAGGAGAAATATAGGTATTTTATGGATAATTATATGATAATAGCAATTCTTTGATGTTAACCAAATGCAAGAGAATATGAATTAGTCATTCCTTTTCGTAGTATTCTATTCCCAAGTGCTTTCAAATGGGACAGCCAAGGTCGGATAAAGATTTTTGGGTAAAAGTAAAATGAGAATTGAAAAGAGTCGAGTTTACCATTAAATTTTCTCTTCAGACATTCTCCTTCGTTGGAAGATGTGGTTTTCCAGGAATACTTGTTGAACGGTCCATCTGTCACACACATGCCCAGACCACCGTTTCCACCAAGACTCCAGGGAGCCGACGAGAAAATATCATTTAACTGTGTAACGAAAGAAAGCAAATTCCAATCCGATCTGTTAGTTAATTATGCGGCCCAGGCCCTGATTTCTTTCATACTTTCCCCTGCCCCCACGGGTATTTGTACCCACCTGTTTTCTCCACGGTTGCCCAGAGAACAGGCTCCAATCCCAATATGGTATTGTAACACGACAATCAATCTTTCTCAGTATGTTCTCCATCTTCATGAGATACCAACGATGCCATGGAAGGAATTGTGTCTTCCTGATAAAAGAACAAAAAGAATGAACATTTAAATAGGTGAGGTCCATAGTTTGATCCTCAGTGACCTCATACACTTGTTTTAAGAAGCATTTGTGGCTTGGTTGGTTAGTATGCTGCCTGCTAAGCAAGAGGTCCATAGTTTGATCCTCAGTGCCTTCACACACTTGTTTTAAGGAGCAAGTGTGGCTTGGTTGGTTAGCATCCTGCCTGCTAAGCAAGAGGCTCATAGTTTGATCCTCAGGACCTCACACACTTGTTTTAAGGAGCAAGTGTGGCTTGGTTGGTAAGTGTGTTGCACGCCTGCTAAGCAAGAGGTCCATAGTTTGGTCCTCACACATTTGTAACCATGGCAATACTATTTATTAATTTATTCATTAAATAATTCCCTCACGTGTGGATGCCTTTATCAAATTGGCCAGTGTGAATAGCCACGAGTTTCTCGTACTCCATCTTGTAGGGTTCTTTGCTTGAGGCAGTCAAGAGAGTTCTGACAAACCTCAAACGTTCACCCCATGGCATCGAGTAGAAGTCCCTTCTTATACGTGTGCATTGGGTCAGTCTACTATTGCCACATATGCATCGTTCGCCACATTCGTTGTAGGTGGCTTTGCCGTTATTTGTACATCGAGTTGACTCGGTTGCTTCGAATGAGGAAAATAATTGAATGTTCAAAGATAGCTAGGTGAAGGCAGATAAATTGACAAGATGGATGGATGGATGGATGGATGGATGGGATGGATGGGATGGATGGATGGATGGATGGATGGAAGGAGGGAGGGAGAGAGGGAGGGAAGGAGAGAGGAAGGAAGGAAGGGGAGAGGAGGGAGGGAGGAATGAATGGATGAATTGATGGATAACAAAAGAAAGGCACCAACCTGCGATAACGGCCAGCAAGAACAGTGCTGTAATTCTTGCCTTCATTTTTTTTGGACGATCGTGAAAACCAAAGTCATATAGCTTTAAAAAGAATACCACATAAGAAGACAAAAGCGAAGAGGAACGAGAGCAAAAGGGGAAGGAAAATTCAGTAAGTAATCTGTTGTGTATAAAACATCGATGCAGAATTTACTGATGATGGTAGCTGCACTAAGTGCAAGTCCGTATGTTGATACTGATCTACTGATCTCCTAGATAGGGATAACCTCTTTCATCTCCTTTCACAATTTTTCATGTATTTTGCTTCTTTTTTTTTTTTTTTTTTTTTTTTTTTTTTTTTTTTTTTTTTTTTTTTTTTTTTTCTTCTTCTTCTTCTTCTTCTTCTTCTCTATTTTCTGTATACAAGGTGATGAATTGTGAATAAACCATTATGTTATGTTATGTTGTGTTACTGGGTGAACAGCCACGCTCGTCAGGATTAGTAAAGGAATCCTTGTTCAAACAAATCAAGGAATAATATTTCCTTTAAATGACATTTTACTCAACATAACAAACATAAATTTGGCTTCAGTATTTTTGACCGACAATCACCGCATTGAACGCGCTAAAGGTTGCTAGGATGTTGTGGAAAGCGTCGCTTCGCTTTTTACTCCGGCGTCGAAATATATGTTCCCCTCACAATGCAAATAACTCCATTATCAGTATTTCCTTTGATTTTATTGAAGTTTTAAATAGCTTTGTTCCAGAAATCACTGGAGAATTTATTAAGGTTTCAAACCCAACCGGCTTTTATCAACCAAACTTTCAGCAGGAAAATTTGTCAATAAAAATATTTTCAAGCTAATACGATTTGTAATACCCATAATTCGCGCATGATTTAAAATTCTTTAAAATTTGAAGATGAAAAATATTCATTCAACGCAAAATGCTTTTTTTACGAAAGTAAAAAGTAAAGGAATACGTTTTAGTGTACTGAAGCTAAATTACAGTTCGTCGCCAGAACTTGAAGATTCAGTTCTCTGAATGCAAAGGCACGAATCACCTTGGAAACGCCTCACCTTGAAAAGTTTAACTACAACAAAGTTTTCAGAGATATTTTGAGGTTGAAAAATTTCGAATGAAAATTTATCAAATAGTTCTAGATTATATTAGAGACAACTTAACGCTATCTGGATAGATTTTGATGCAATTCTCATCTTTTTAAATTATATTTTTTACGCCTTTAATGAGTTGTAAAAAATTGTCGATAAAATTTCAGAAGTCCACCGGTAGCAACTTGAACAACGATAGACAGCATAAAAATCATTCATGAACTTGGTATTACTTACCTTTAAAAGAATTTAGCTTAATACTACTACCACTATTCTTTCTTGATTGTATTTCTACGTTGCTATATTGCGTAGCGTGATGTAGTTATGTTTTTTGAAGCGAGTTTAGGAAGAGTGGCTGCATTCCTAGACTGACTGTGTTAATTTTTGTTTTACGTCGTAAGGTGTAAACATTGCATAAAGTAAAAAAAGAAAGTAGGTAAATAGGCTCAACTAGACAAACTCAGGGCTCCAATCAGATGGGGATTTAGTGTCAACATTTAGGGAATTATCTGGTGTGGCATAAGACATATCCATGGAATAAACTTGGTAGTACATCCATGCCACAGGGGTTAGTCCATGAAACAAGTCTCAAAGACAAAGTAACTGCGTATTGAGATTTTTTGTATTTCACCAATGGTCGCCTTACTCTTCATGGCATATCTCAAGAAGCTGTACAATGGACTCTAGCACTTTCTTCCATCTGGTAAGTGGGGAGGGGGGAG